CTATATCCTTGCAACCAATTGCTAGAGCCAACATGGGTGTAGTTTTCCAAATTTACAAAAGTTGGCCATTTGAATCTAAAACCTAACCACTTCCTCATCCTGTTGTGAGCGCAATTGGAGTACTTTTGTAGGGGTAAGTTCGTAAGGGTAATTTGTATAATTGTATTAATAATACACAGTGATTCAAAAAGCGGACCGCTCAATGCCTAGGTGGTCGGCCCTAGTCGGCCAATCTGGGTGGTCGATCCTTGGGTGGCCATCTAGGCAGTATGGAACCCGCTTAGGCGGGCACTTAGGGCCTGCGCCCTGCCTAGGGGTGAAAATAACTTTTGGTAGGGTCAATTTTGGTCATTTGTTTTTGTTTTTAGTCAAAAAATTAGGGTTTTAGGTTCATTTGAAACATAAAACTTGTTGTACACATTGTCTGTGACAACCTGTACAACAAGATGCTCTCCAACCTCCTTGATTCCCTTCTCTATCACTTGAAATATGTAATGGGCATCATGGATATGATCGAAGGAATCAATCGACCTCAAAAAAACAGCCCCTACTGGACAATTCACCAGCAAATTCATTTGACTTCTTCTCTTCTTATCACTCCAAGCATCAATCATAAGAGAAACCCCATACTGAGCCCATGCATCTTTCTTAAGTTCTACAACTTCCTTCGTGGTATTCACTGCCTTTTTTTAAAAAGGCTCTGAAAGCTTATATGGGATTGGGGGTTTTATCCCAAGGCTAAATTAGCCAATTGCCTCTACTACAGCATAAAAGCTGCTCAAGCGAGCGATATTGAAAGGAATACCCGCCTCATAAAACCACGTAGCCAAATAATACGCAGGTCTATCTCTCTCTTCCTTCTTGATTCTATTTTCAATGGTGGTTTGCTTTTTTGTTTTCTCTCCTGCAATCTCAGGGTCGGGCCGAGGTAAGAAACTATCCATAGGGGCCTCTAACCCGAGGCTTCTTTGTCCCAGAACCAGAAACAATTACAACTCCGTTCCCTTTTCCCCTAATAATGGATTGCTCAATCTCTTGACATCCCTCCCCAATCCTTTCCTCATCACGATCATCATCATTAAAATTGACTCGAACCTCAGACCTAATATCTGTTATAGAGGAAAATCTCTCATCTTTTTTCATTTTCACCAAGTTCATAAAATTCTTTATTTCCTCTTTAACAACATCCGGAGTTTTTTTACATGGGGCAACATCTCCCCTGATACTGGAAAGATGTTTTTTGAACCGGTTCATGCCTCCTTTTGTATCCTTTTCACAAAATTGCATCTTATGCAATTTTTATCATTATGATCTGAGTTATAGCCATATTTCCAACCGTGATCACCACTCCTATTAGATCCTGAAGAAGACATCTAAAAAATAATGCAAATTACTAAAGCAATAAAAAAAAATCACTTACTTTGAGTTTGATTGCTCAATCTTGAAACTTCCACCTCAAAGATGTTTCTAAATACTCAAAATCTTCTAAAACACCCCCTAATAACTTTGCAAAACATCAAAATGTAAATATAATACTAATGGGCGATGTTTTGATCAAATTTGGTTAACTTTGAGTAACCCTTCGATCTTAAAAAATTCACCACAATCTAGTTTTTTGGTGGTTTTCTCTCTCTAAATTTGGCTCAAACAATGTTTAGGTTTCAAATGAACCTAAAATCTAATTTTTGGGCCTTAAAAACAAAAAACAAATGACCTAAAATGCCCTCACTATTTTTCTTTCCGCCCTTGGGCGGGGCGCAGGCTTGGGCGGCCGCCTAGGTGGGTTCTGTACCGCCTAGGCGGGCCGCCCAGGGATTGACTGCCCAGATTGGCCGCCTAGGCCTGGGCGCGCCCAGGCCTTTCAGACTGCCTAAGTGTTGGGCGGTCCGCTTTTTGAATCATTGGGACTGTTGGGCGGTCCCCTTCACCTTGGAGATTGGCCCTTTGTTTTGATGAGATCAAACATAGAATTAGTGGCCTCAGAGTCTCATGGAAACATGTTTGGCATGAGGCAAACTCAGTTGTAGATGCCTTAGCCAGAGAAGGGGTGAACTCCAGTTAGAGAACATCCCCCCCACACTTAACCCTGACATGACATTTTTTTAGAGCAGAATTGTTGCATGGACAGTCCATTTCCCTTTTTGTGCAGCATGATTGTTGTTATATTTGGTCTTTATGTGCCTACCTTATATTGCCTGTTTCTTGGGCCACCCCGCCTTGAGGGGGCCATTTTATTATACATAAACCCTTTAATGCAAGTTAACATTTTCAGAAAAAAAAAAATCTAGTCTGGTATTGGCAGGGTATATGGGTTTAAACACTGAACAATAGTACTTGCTAATATCCTCTAGGGATTCCCTACGGATGTGTTTAGATGGTTTTACTGTGGATATGAATGGGCTTTATTAATAAGTTATTGATATGTTTTCTTTCCCTTTTCTTTTTTTTTTTTCTTTTTTATTTGAATATGATAAGTCGAGCTCATATCTCTTTGCCTTGGTTATGGACGAGTTAACTTTGTGTCGACATGGTGAGTTCTTGTGGTTTATGTTATTTGCAGATGACGTAGTTTTGATTGATGAGACTAGAGATGGCGTTAATGCAATGTTAGGACTTTGGAGGAATGCTTTAGAAACTAAAGGTTTTAAAATTATCCGGATTAATACACAGAATACAAGTTTAGAAATAACATAAGTAAAAATGAGGAATTAGTTAAGATTGATGGTCAAGAAGTACCTAAAAGAGATTGTTTGATGGTCAAGAAGTACCTAAAAGAGATTGTTTTTCATATCTTGAGTCAATAATCCATGAGAAAGGAGAGATTGAGGAAGGTGGTGTGGCTGGACGAAGGGGTATGTGCTTTTGGAGCCTTATGCGCCTATTGCATGCTGATGAAATTGAAGGAGAAGTTCTCTAGGATGGCTGTAAGATCAGTCATGCTTTATGGGATGGAATGTTGGGCGGCCAAGAAAGAACATATCCATAGAATGAGTATAGCTGTGATGATGTGAGTGATAAGACAAGAAATAGAATTTGAAATGAATACATTCGATAGAATTTAAGGGTAGCTTCAATATGATATAAGATGAGTGAAAGTAGACTTAGGTGGTATGGTCATATGTAGCGTTGACCTAGAACAATGCCTGTTAGGAGGGGTGATTTGGTTTAAGTAGAAGGTTTTAAAATGGCAAGGGGAAGACCTATAAGGACATAGATGAAAGTAGTGAGAAAAGATATGGTGACTTATGGTCTGACCGAGTGATAACACTTGATTGACCGGAATGGAGAAACCTTATTCGTGTAGCTGACCCCAAATAATTTTGATACGGATCATATGATGATAATGCTTTCTAAATATATTCCCATAAGTTATTTTAAGCTTTCCAAATTTTCAATATCAAACATCTTTCTTTAGAAAAATCCTCGATTCCATCATAGCTTCCATGTCATGACAGGCAATATGTCATCTTTATGTACAAGAAGAATTGTAGTACCTCAAAATCCAATTGACCGCTCCACTCCTTTTGAACTTAATAGAGACGACAGTAATGTTTGGCTTGTCAAACCAAGCTCTTGAAATTTGTTGAACTCATAAAATCACATCTCTGAGTTTGTAGACCATGCTGGAGGAACAATGTTAACTGGCTATCCACTTGTCCTTTCCCCTATAGGTTTGTGCAACAGAAACAAATACGTAGAATAGGAATAAGTGATCCAATCATCAGCAACATGTAGCAAGGACCAAAAGATACCAAATTTCAATCCAGTGATGCCTTGTTGTTGAGAAATACCATAACTTGTGTTCTTATGAATAAATCGTTTTGATCTTATTATACTTTTCATATTTATACTGACAATGTTAGTGCCACCATCAAAATAATTTTTTTTGAGTTTGCGTTTACTGAGCAGTAACTTTAGGAAATGGCTTGAAGCCATAGAATACTATCATCGGGATTTTATCAAATACTTTTTGTTACCCTTGCCAAATTATCAATAAAAAACATGTCTGTACAGAGAGTTACATGGCTTGGACAAGGAAAATGTTTGTTGTGAGAAAAGACATTGTTTACAAAGTATTCTTTGGATAGTTAAGCCAATTGTTACTATCACTTGAAGCAAGACTCTTTCCCAATAGCCAAATTCTATAGAGGGCAAATGAAGTTGAAAATTCTCGTCAAGGGATGATTGAGCCTTGACGTTCATATCTTTCTCTCTTTCTACTCATATTCCTTTTGCTCGCTGAGGCTTAGGGAACATCATTAAAAATGTACTGCCCCTTTAGTTGATATCACACATCAATCATCTTATCATCATCTCTAAGTCCTAGAAAACACGTGGAGAAGCAAATTATACAAAAATCCATGTGTTTTTGTGATTATACTTATATAAAGTAAATTCGGAGGAGAACTTGATGCATGGAGAACTGATTCTAGAGAGAGAGATTGTGAAATATCTGCACAATCAACTCCGTGAGCTAGATTTTTAGGCTATTCAGTTAGTGAAACAAAATTGTAACTTGGATAACGTTTGAATGAAGAGAAATCGGAGGAATTATTATATGGTAGGATGCTTCCAATCCAATTTGCTTGAGTGAGAAGAAACAAACTCAGAAGAAGTATGAAGGAATTAAGTGCATCTTGAGTTTGAGAAGAGTTTCCAACATTATCCAATTGTTCAAGCATCTGTAGTTGGTTCAGTTGAAAAGACGTTCTAGATCTTGGTCGAAGTCGATTCAGTACAAAATCATTATAGAGAAGAAGAGAAGAGAAGAGAGAGAGAAGAGGAAGAAAAGAGGAGAAGATATGAGAGACAAATAAGGTAAAACATATAGACAAGTTTCTTGGGTTAGACTAATCGCACTTATACAATATGACTTGGAACGAATTACTAAATATTCAGTTACCTAAACAACGAAACCAAATTATGTCTCTATTATATAATGTGTTCCATTTATCCCCCTAATAAGATATCACACTTTGGATTGGTTCTTCAGATCCTTGAGGGAAATCCAGCAAAGCGTTATATTGTAATCTTATTTTTAAGCCTTTGGAGGGTCTGTATAGATCCTTGAAAGAAATCCAGTGACTGTCAACTGGAGTAGTGGCATCATCAGCTAATGCACTTTGACACCTATGTAAGGAACCAACACATTCCTTAGTGTGACCCAACTTCATAGATGGAGCAAGTTTTTCTAGCAGATGTTCGTCCATATTGTCTTTGTGGTTCTACCAAGTATGAGTCCATTGTTGCACGTAATTATGTTGGCACTAAACTGAAAACAAATTGAAAGTACTTCCCCAAATGTATTTTGAGGTGACTGATCAACTGTTGATTCTGCCTTGCAAAGCTCAGTCACTTGATCAAAATGTGATTCTTGATGCTTGTTTTGCATATTTTATTGGATTGCATAAATGATGCATTGGTGAACCCTTTATAACAAATAGAATTCTATTTGTCACAAATTTTTACCTGCTATTTAGAATTATTGATTAGCATATTTCCTTCATTTCCTTTATGACTGTTTTAAGAGTTTGGGTTCTTTTACATAGCTTGCGGAGTTATTTCTTGTGACAAATGTTTATACAGGGATTTTGATTTCACAAAAGGAGGATTTGACGCACGAACTGTTATGATTTGTGATCAAGTAAGCTTCATTACTTTTGTTGTGTTTATGGCTATTGTTGTTTTTGTTAGTGCATATGCTTATTTTAATTGATTTCTTGTTTAGTGTGAGAGGGAGTACCATGTTGGTTGTTTGAAGGATCAAGGGATATGCGATTTGAAGGTATACGGCTGTGTGTTAATCTTTCGTACTTTCAGGAGTGCTTGAAAAATTAGTTTGGATTGTAATACATTTGGAGCTCAGTAAATATATGTATTTTTTCCATTACAGGAATTGCCAGAAGGAAAGTGGTTTTGTTGTGTGGATTGCAGTATGATTCATGTTACTTTGCAGAAGTTAATTACCAATCGAGCAGAGATGCTTTCAGATTCTCTATTGGATATAATAAAGAGAAAGTATGAAGAGAAAGGCTTAACTATGGATTCTGAGACTGGTATGCAATGGCAGCTTCTTAGTGGAAAAGCTTGGCACTTAAATGACGGGTGTTTACTATCTAAGGCCAATACAATGTTTCATGTAAGCATTTTCTAATGTTATATTCACTATTGTGTTTGTCTACTTGGTTTTATTCACCTCTTTCTTTTGCAGTTTATACCCTATTAGATAAAGTTACTAGGTTATTTTTATGCTGGACTATGTGGGGCTTGATGCCTGTATGCTATCATTCTTTCCATTACCATGATGAGTATGTCATTTATTTCCAACATCCCTCAACTTCTATCTGGACTACCTTCTGTGCCATAAAGTTATGGTTTGAAAGCTGAAGGATCACATTTCTGCATTTGCTAAGAGTGGCATTGAAATTTGCATTCTAGTTTTTTATCTTCTCACTAATCCCACATATTGCCCTATCTGAACAGATTGTAGAATTGTTTATTTAGTTGGTAAGCAAAAGAAGACCACAATACAAGAGGGATTATGCCCAATGGCCCTGGATGGAATCTGGGGCCTTTCGATGTCTGTGATTTAATTTTGTATTTTTTTTCTGAAAATTCAAAATTTTTAAAATTTGAGTCCTAGATAAAACAAAATGAGTCCAACACAATAAAAATAAAAGAACAATTCAAATAAAGATATTCACCAAATTACCCCTAAAACATTCAAGGCTATTTTTGTCAATTTTTTATTTTAATTATTTTTTTGATATTTTAAAGGGGTGTTCCTCATTTTGTTTTATTCATGCCCCAAATTTCAAGAAATTCAAGTTTGTAAAGAAATAAAATAAAATACAATATGGACTGTCCAGCACCGCTAGATTCTTTCTTGAGTCATTGACCGTATTCCCTTTCTTATGCAGGTATGCGTACAAAGGCATTTCCACACACACACACACACACACGTGCACATTATGACACTATATGTACCATTTTTCTTGAGTTACTATAATACATATGAAGGATATTTTGGTCAATAAACAAGTGTAATTCTACATGTAAACGATTAGTGCGTCATTCATTACTAAGGAATGCATTCTGATTCTTGACCAGAAAATGTGTGAGACTCATGGTGCTCAGAAACATGCATGTATGTATTCTTTAAATACCCATTTGCATATGGCTCCATTCCCCCTTATATGAACTAAGATCCAGAGAGTAATTATCAATGAAATCAAATGACAATGAAAAATGGAATCCTATTTACTTGGATGAAGTCAATGTGTGTTAAGGTCCTTTTTAACAATTATATTGGATTGCTGATGTCTACAATTTTTTTCTCTTCTGTAGGAGTGCTTTGGTCCTTTACTTGAACAGACAGGATGTGATTTAATAAGCTGCATGGTTGAAGGGTAAGTCATCATAATATATGTTTTGTTTATTTTGTTTACTTACTGTAACAAGGTGGATCTTTGTACTTTCATTTTTGTTTTCTTTTAGTCATGTGTTTTGGATCAACAGCTCTCACCTGTCAAGTGTTGTTATGCTGAATGTTTTGCAGAAAACAAATGGGCGACCGAGAATATGGAGGATTCTATTGTGCAGTTTTAACTGTTAAGTAAGTATTCCCGAGTCCATTTATATTACTTTTTAGGCTCCCTTTTGTTATTTTTTCCATGAGATATCATTGTAACTGTGTCTATCTTTTGTTCCCTTGGTTTATGCAGCTCAGCCATTGCATCAGCTGGATTACTGAGAATATTTGGTCAAGAAGTTGCTGAACTTCCTTTGGTTGCAACATGCAATGATAGCCGTGGATACGTAAGACAATCTTATTGAATAATAATATTTTGCCATTTCAGTTGTGTTTCTTTTAACAATTTCCTCCTTTGTTGGAGATTTGATTTGCCATGCATTTAGTTCAAGAGTCTTAGGCTTGTACCTAGATCTATGTGAGTGGTTATGATAACATAGTTGGCAATAATCTTCCTTAATTTCTCATGCCATTGCTTCTTGGGTCTTCTGTCTCCATAAGAAGGCTTTGAGGGAGAGTGAGTCCTGTATCTTAATTATCAAGACTTATCATGGTTAAAAGCAGAGAAATTGGGTATATCCTGGAGAAAAAAATTCAGAATATCAACTTTGATGAATTATCCAATGGGTTAACTGATTTTGTTCAGCTAGTTTTTACTAACATGGAAGTTTCAGTGACGACAGTTATTTTTTGTGTTCCCTTCTCAATACTTTCATCCTGATAAGTGATAATTCCATCAAGAAAAAGGTATTTACAGACTTGATAATTCCATCAAGAAAAAGGTAATTACAGACTTGTGGAGTTGCCTTTACAGGGCTAATAAGCCTAATGCCCCATGTTATACCCATACTTGCAACTTTGTTCACTCTGTCACCTTTCTATGTATGCATGACATGATTAATAAGCATACGATCAATTCATCTGTCACCTCTGAAAATTTCCTCACATTGCTTTTAAGCAATTAAGCATCCATGATTCATGCTGGAGTATTATGATTTTGTAGGACTAAGGAATTCATACTTTAGGTGACAATCATTTAGTGAATATATGTACCAAAGTCATTTAATGAATATATGTACCTTATGTTGGTAAGAGATCTTGTAAGTTTGCTACAATACGACATCCAGGTATAAGTCTGCCAATGCTCTGCCATATTTAAATATGGCATTGGCCTTTCCCCTGAATGAATTAAACACTAATAGATAATCTCCAACGGCTGCAGGCTTCTCTTAACTGCGGCCTTTGGGAATTCTTACCCAATATTTTGTTGCCATCTCCATGAGGGCCTGCATAGCGTATGACAACCTCCATCTGATTATCTTAAAATCCATCAACCAAAGTCAACTTGGCATCCACATCATATTTAAACCTCAGTAGAGTAACCAAAAGAAGCTTCAACTTTCCACCATGTGTCTAGACGAGAATCCCTTGAACAATTTAGCAATGGGTACTTCAGATCCTTCCGCTTGATTTCTTTCATCCTTGGCTTGTTGAAGGCACTGGATGTCATATTTGCTAATGATCTTCATCAACTGGATCTTTCCCATGGAAGTATGCTTTTACGTCCTTTTTACTGCTGGCCTTTATGTCCTCCAATACGGAAGGGTCTAAAGAACATCTTAGTTATGACCACAGCCAAGCAAAACCCGTCGATTTTTGTACTTTTCCCTGGTCTTTCAAGTGTTGTGCACCAAAGTAACTGATGATCCAATAATTATTTAGCAAGATGTGTTTGTTTGAGGAATTTGTAATTTTATTTATTTATTATTATATGTGTTCAACAAGACAACAGCCTTCACCCTTGGACCATGGAAACCGGGCCCCTTAAATGCTTATTTGGAACTCTTGAAGAAGAGAAATAATTTTTCATACTTGTACCCTAGGAAAAGGTGAAATGAATCATGCAAAAATTATATTATTTTTCACTGTGCCGTTAGATCATTCTAAAGATTTTTCTCGTATGGTAAGTTCAATAAAGCGGCATCAATATCCTTACATTGTACTTTCATCAAGATCTTTTCTATATGAATTTTTAACATATATGGGCAAAAGGTAGAAGCGAAGCTTCACACGAAACTGAGTGTCTAGTCATTTTCTTCTGAACAAATCTTATTTGCCTTTAATTGTATCTGAAATCCCCTCACAAGTTTCCATTTTCTTAGGGTTACTTCCGATGCTTATTTTTATGCATTGAGAAGCTTTTGATTTCATTGAATGTGAAAAAGCTTATTCTCCCTGCCACTGAGGATGCCCAATCCATTTGGATAGAGAAATTTGGTTTTAGGAAGATATCCAAGGAGAAGGTAAATATGCTCTTGTTCTTTCATAATTATGCTTTTCTTTTTATATATTTGCTTTTTATAGCTTTGTGACAAGGAATTGGTTTCAAATAGGTCAACAGTTACACAGAGGTCTTTCCAATTATGATTTTTAAGGGGACATCGATGTTAGAGAAGCAGTTCGTCAATTTTGAGATTAGCTGATGAGGCAAGGTTGTACATAGCACCAGTCCATTCTTTTATTCACAGGAAATTTTGCTCATTCTTTGATGGTTCAGGAGTTTTTGTTCCTGGAAGAAAGAAAAGGAGTCATGGCCTCAAACTTGTTTTTAATATTCATGGTCCAATTCTAAGGATGCAAATGTAGCAAACATATAGGAATGTGTGCCATTTTAGCAGTGACAATTCTTATTCTTGGGATTTCATGGAGACTTTATGGG